TCACTTCTGCTATCAGTATATCACAATACATATCACGTTCCATATACCTGTAATGCAGTATATCACCAGGGCTCGATTTAAGAGATGTTAACCTACTTGCACCAGGTGCAACCTAAGATAAAACATAGTTGCACAGCCAAATTCCAGTTGCACTGCTCTTATCGCAATATGTAATGAAAGAAATGTGCTACTGAATGATTCAAAGCTTAGATAACAAATGATCTGACATAAAAATGTTAGATTTATTGTTGATTTATTTCACAAAATTGACTTGCACCTGGTGCAAGTTAAATAAATAACTAGGTTGCACTTTGTAATATTGAGTTGCACCAGTGCAAGTAACAAAGCACTAAATCGAGGAATACGACGTAAAAGACAGTATGCATCCTCCTTTCACCTTCATCAAAGAGAATCAATACAAGCTTCTCCCATCCTACAAATGACACAACTAAAATCCAAGCAGAATGTCAATATCACCGCGTCTATTTCAGTGCTCGTTAATTTCGATTAGTCATCAGCTGATGGCTGCTATTAACGATGGAGACAGATTTACCTGAGATTCCCAGCTTCACCTGTACTCGTTATTGTCAGGTATTGATTTTTCAGCAACATCACCAGCATCTATTGTAGTAATAGTATCGGGAGCGTAATGAGTGTGTTTGTTCATTGTCGGGTTTCCAGCTTCTACCATTACGTATTGTATCTCAGGTTTAATATCACCTACATCTTGTGATTCATATATGTTATTAGCGAAATCCAATTTGTATGGCATCACGTGTTGGCTGGATACATCAATGGCAGAATACAAATCTTTTCATTTTGGTTCCTGTTTGAAAATAATATGCTCTGAATACTTCTATTCAAAATATTTTGGAGTCAAATATATTGTGGTATGTTCTCAAGGGGATCAAACAGTTCTTAATACACTGAGTTAAATATTTATTTTTTTATCGTATTTGTGATCAAAGCTTTAGAAAATGTCATATATATATTAAAGAATTTTTTAATTGGATAGCACAAATATTTTTATCACTGGTCATATCTGAAAAGAAATTCAATGATATATTTTTGTTTCTTTCCTGACTCTTTGGCGTAAGTCATTTTATTAAATGATGGTAGATTTTCTAATGTGGTTTTAATTCTTGATTTATTACATTTCAAGATTACAATAAAATATCTTGTAAAAATGTTGTTATTTTGTAAGGAATTCAAATCACAGACACAACTAGATTAAACTGATTTTGATATTTGTTTGGAATTTTCAACAAGACATAAATCACTGTTTAGTTTGTCTCCATTTTATCGCACTAAACAAATACTTTTCATTTATTTTCTTGATTTATCATTCACAAGGAATGTTAGCTATAAATTTGGTTATAAACAGTAATCACTGAAGGATGCTGGGCATGTTTATTTAGAGGATACTGTGCCTCCATCTTGTCAAGTGTCATTGTAAGAGGAATCCGGATGCAAGTGTTTGGATGCCGAGATGCCGAGATGCTGTATTCAGCCAGCTTTTATCTGATTATATCCGTATCTATTTAATTATTTGACAGCATTACTCAACATGTATGAAAATAGATATCCCTGCCCAATGGCTATTTCATTGGCATTGGTTGCTATAGAAACGGCCACAAAGTCGAGTTATACTTGAATAAGATGCCAAGTTTGTTTGTTGGGGCAGTGACATTTTCTTCAAAGAGATGGACTATTATATTTTTAAGGTGACTGGCTTTTGGAGGGTTGGGAGAGTGCAAGTGCGGGGTGTGAGGGTTGCAAAATCAAAAGGGTCATTCAATATCAAGAAAAATATAGAATGAAAAAAATAAAATAAAAAAAAATATATGATGAAATGAATATTTTCTGGCATGAAAACGTCTTGTATGAAGTTGAAAACCTTTATTTTTGGAATGAGGATGAATAGCGTCATGGGTGTTGATGTTCTGTCATTAAAAGTCGGAAGTGGCGCCATGTTGGCTACTTCGTCACACAATGTCTGCCCTTGGTTTCCTATGTGTGTTGGAACAAAAGCAATCAGTTCTTTCTAATGTGCTTAGCATAATTTCATTTGACTGAATTATAGGAAACACGGTGTGGGTGGTGGTTTTGAGTGTAATGTATGATCCTTGCTATAACTACGAGTGTGTTTATAACCAAGAGCGTAATGTATGATCTTCGCTATAACTACGAGTGTGTGTTTATAACCAAGAGCGTAATGTATGATCCTCGCTATAACTACGAGTGTGTGTTTATAACCAAGAGCGTAATGTATGATCATCGCTATAACTACGAGTGTGTTTTATAACCAAGAGCGTAATGTATGATCCTCGCTATAAATACGAAGTGTTTTTATAACCAAGAGCGTAATGTATGATCCTCGCTATAACTACGAGTGTGTTTATAACCAAGAGCGTAATGTATGATCCTCGCTATAAATACGAGAGTGTTTATAACCAAGAGCGTAATGTATGATCCTCACTATAAATACGAGAGTGTTTATAACCAAGAGCGTAATGTATGATCCTCGCTATAACTACGAGTGTGTGTTTATAACCAAGAGCTTAATGTATGATCCTCGCTATAACTACGAGTGTGTTTATAACCAAGAGCATAATGTATGATCATCGCTATAAATACGAGAGTGTTTATAACTAAGAGCGTAATGTATGATCCTCGCTATTAAACTACGAGTGTGTTTATAACCAAGAGCGTAATGTATGATCATCGCTATAAATATGAGAGTGTGTTTATAACCAAGAGCATAATGTATGATCCTCGCTATAACTACGAGTGTGTTTATAACCAAGAGCGTAATGTATGATCATCGCTATAAATACGAGAGTGTGTTTATAACCAAGAGCGTAATGTATGATCCTCGCTATAACTACGAGTGTGTGTTTATAACCAAGAGCTTAATGTATGATCCTCGCTATAACTACGAGTGTGTTTATAACCAAGAGCATAATGTATGATCCTCGCTATAACTACGAGTGTTTATAACCAAGAGCTTAATGTATGATCATCGCTATAACTACGAGTGTGTGTTTATAACCAAGAGCATAATGTATGATCTTCGCTATAACTACGAGAGTGTTTATAACTAAGAGCGTAATGTATGATCCTCGCTATAACTACGAGTGTTTATAACCAATAGCGTAATGTATGATCATCGCTATAACTACGAGTGTGTTTATAACCAAGAGCGTAATGTATGATCATCGCTATAAATACGAGAGTGTTTATAACCAAGAGCTTAATGTATGATCCTCGCTATAACTACTAGAGTGTTTATAACCAAGAGCTTAATGTATGATCATCGCTATAAATACGAGAGTGTTTATAACCAAGAGCGTAATGTATGATCCTCACTATTAAACTACGAGAGTGTGTTTATAACCAAGAGCGTAATGTATGATCCTCGCTATTAAACTACGAGAGTGTGTTTATAACCAATAGCGTAATGTATGATCCTCGCTATAACTACGAGTGTGTTTATAACCAAGAGCTTAATGTATGATCATCGCTATAACTACGAGTGTGTGTTTATAACCAAGAGCATAATGTATGATCTTCGCTATAACTACGAGAGTGTTTATAACTAAGAGCGTAATGTATGATCCTCGCTATAACCACGAGAGTGTTTATAACCAATAGCGTAATGTATGATCATCGCTATAAATACGAGAGTGTTTATAACCAACCATAATGTATGATCCTATAATATCCTAAGCTATAACTTCGCTACGAGTGTGTTTTATAGCGTAATGTATGATCCTCGCTATAACTACGAGAGTGTTTATAACCAAGAGCTTAATGTATGATCATCGCTATAAATACGAGTGAGTGTTTATAACCAAGAGCCGTAATGTATGATCCTCACTATTAAACTCACGAGTGTGTTTATAACCAAGAGCCGTAATGTATGATCCTCGCTATAAACTACGAGTGTGTTTATAACCAATAGCGTAATGTATGATCCTCGCTATAACTACTAGAGTGTGTTTATAACCAAGAGCTTAATGTATGATCATCGCTATAACTACGAGTGTGTGTTTATAACCAAGAGCATAATGTATGATCTTCGCTATAACTACGAGAGTGTTTATAACTAAGAGCGTAATGTATGATCCTCGCTATAACCACGAGAGTGTTTATAACCAATAGCGTAATGTATGATCATCGCTATAAATACGAGAGTGTTTATAACCAAGAGCATAATGTATGATCCTCGCTATAACTACGAGTGTGTTTATAACCAATAGCGTAATGTATGATCTTCGCTATAACTACGAGAGTGTGTTTATAACCAAGAGCGTAATGTATGATCCTCGCTATAACTACATGAGTGTTTATAACCAATAGCGTAATGTATGATCCTCGCTATAACTACGAGTGTGTTTATAACCAAGAGCGTAATGTATGATCCTCGCTATAACTACGAGTGTGTTTATAACCAATAGCGTAATGTATGATCCTCGCTATAACTACGAAAGTGTTTATAACCAATAGCGTAATGTATGATCCTCGCTATAACTACGAGTGTGTTTATAACCAAGAGCGTAATGTATGATCATCGCTATAAATACGAGAGTGTTTATAACCAAGAGCTTAATGTATGATCCTCGCTATAACTACGAGAGTGTTTATAACCAAGAGCTTAATGTATGATCATCGCTATAAATACGAGAGTGTTTATAACCAAGAGCGTAATGTATGATCCTCACTATTCAACTACGAGAGTGTGTTTATAACCAAGAGCGTAATGTATGATCATCGCTATTAAACTACGAGAGTGTGTTTATAACCAATAGCGTAATGTATGATCCTCGCTATAACTACGAGTGTGTTTATAACCAAGAGCGTAATGTATGATCCTCGCTATTAAACTACGAGAGTGTGTTTATGAACCATGACCGCACGGTGATGATACCAGTTTGTGAAAATATGTTTTAAGTATTTTCATTTTCAATATTTGTGAATATTTGTTGTTGTGTTTTCAGATGAACAGGCCAATACAAGTCAAACCAGCTGACAGCGAGAGTCGAGCAGGTATGTACAGGCAGTCCTGTCGTTTCAGTGGGTTTCCATCGGATTTTCATGAGATTTCCATCAGATTTCCATAGGATTTCCATCAGATTTCCACGTTGAATTTCCATCAGATTTTCATCGGATCTCCATCGGATTTAACCATATCTTTGTGCGTGACAAGCACGGTACAGCTTCAGTACAAAGTTCCACCACAAGGACTGATGATGTTTGTAAAACTAATTACGTACTTGTTCAACAAAAGTATTTTCTTCTTAAGAAATGTTAAATGATAATGGACACGATGTTGATTTATATACAAAAGAGCACTTTACAATTTAAGGAAGCTACAAAGTTCCACCTCAAGGAGTGATGATGTTTGCAAAACTAATTACGTTACTTGTTCAACAAAAGTATTTTCTTAAGAAATGTTAAATGATAATGGACACGATGTTGATTTATATACAAAAGAGCACTTTACAATTTAAGGAAGCTACAAAGTTCCACCTCAAGGAGTGATGATGTTTGCAAAACTAATTACGTACTTGTTCAACAAAAGTATTTTCTTAAGAAATGTTAAATGATAATGGACACGATGTTGATTTATATACAAAAGAGCACTTTACAATTTAAGGAAGCTACAAAGTTCCACCTCAAGGAGTGATGATGTTTGCAAAACTAATTACGTACTTGTTCAACAAAAGTATTTTCTTAAGAAATGTTAAATGATAATGGACACGATGTTGATTTATATACAAAAGAGCACTTTACAATTTAAGGAAGCTACAAAGTTCCACCTCAAGGAGTGATGATGTTTGTAAAACTAATTACGTACTTGTTCAACAAAAGTATTTTCTTCTTAAGAAATGTTAAATGATAATGGACACGATGTTGATTTATATACAAAAGAGCACTTTACAATTTAAGGAAGCTACAAAGTTCCACCTCAAGGACTGATGATGTTTATAAAACAAGTTATGTACTTATTCAACAAAGTATTTTCCCCATAAAACATCAAATGTTAATAGACATGATGGTGAATAAAACACTGAACACTCCAACAGGTCCAGTACAAAGTTTCACCTCAGAGAACTGACAGTGTTTGTTAGGCAATATATTGGAAGTATTGCAGAGAAACTACGTTAATCGATTAATGCTTGATGCAAAAACACAACAAAATATATGCTTGCGATATTTAATGCAATATATTGTAAATAATATTTGGCAAGAAAGTTTTTATCCGAAGATTTCAACAAAAACTACAAAATACTGGTTTTCGATAATCGAGTTAATGCTTGATTTATAAAGCAAAAACACAACAAAATCACTATGCTTGATTAAGATTTAATAAAACTTTTAATCATGACAAAAACAAATGTAAATAATATTTATGCACAAATAAAAAGTGAAGGAACAATTTAAAAAGCTCCAGATAAATATCCGAAGATTTCCGAGTGTTCACGATGTTTTCGAATGCATGTCAAAATACGGTTTTCGATCATATGCATAATGCGATGTCGTTTTGATGTCTGAACGGTAAATACCGTAAACCGGTTATATTAGCAGCACTAGTGTTTGTTAAGCAAATTCACGTACCAACTCAAACAGAAGTATTTAATATGAAATAATAGTCGACATGTTCTTAGGCTGGAAATAATCATTTGATGGTTTTGTTTTCTTGCTGACAAAATATGTTCTTATTCTGCACAATTAACTGTCTAAATATGGTCTACATAAACAGTGAGTTAATTGGCTGTTGGTTGAGGGTATGGAGCTTCATGATAATTTCTGTTACCTAGGGTGTTCATGGTAATCAGGGTTTGAGATGGATGTTCAGGTAATGGTTTGTATTGATGTGGTTCTTCATGGTAAGTTAAGTTAATTAGTAATTTATTGAGATGGGATGTTCATCAGCTAAGATGGATTTTATGGTAATCAGGGTATTGAGAGGCATGGTAATCAGGGTATTGAGATGGGTGTGGGTAATCAGGGTATTGAGGTGGGTGTTCATGGTAATCAGGGTATTGAGATGGATGTTCATGGTAATCAGGGTATTGAGATGGGTGTTCATGGTAATCAGGGTATTGAGATGGATGTTCATGGTAATCAGGGTATTGTGATGGGTGTTCATGGTAATCAGGGTATTGAGATGGATGTTCATGGTAATCAGGGTATTGAGATGGGTGTTCATGGTAATCAGGGTATTGTGATGGGTGTTCATGGTAATCAGGGTATTGTGATGGGTGTTCATGGTAATCAGGGTATTGAGATGGATGTTCATGGTAATCATATTGAGATGGATGTTCATGGTAATCAGGGGTATTGAGATGGATGTTCATGGTAATCAGGGTATTGAGATGGATGTTCATGGTAATCAGGGTATTGAGATGGATGTTCATGGTAATCAGGGTATTGAGATGGGTGTTCATGGTAATCAGGGTATTGAGATGGATGTTCATGGTAATCAGGGTATTGAGATGGGTGTTCATGGTAATCAGGGTATTGTGATGGATGTTCATGGTAATCAGGGTATTGAGATGGATGTTCATGGTAATCAGGGTATTGAGATGGATGTTCATGGTAATCAGGGTATTGAGATGGATGTTCATGGTAATCAGGGTATTGAGATGGATGTTCATGGTAATCAGGGTATTGAGATGGATGTTCATGGTAATCAGGGTATTGTGATGGATGTTCATGGTAATCAGGGTATTGTGATGGATGTTCATGGTAATCAGGGTATTGAGATGGATGTTCATGGTAATCAGGGTATTGAGATGGATGTTCATGGTAATCAGGGTATTGAGGATGGGTGTTCATGGTAATCAGGGCTTGAGATGGATGTTCATGGTAACTTGGTATTGAGAGTGGATGTTCATGGTAATCTTGGTATTGTGATGGATGTTCATGGTAATCAGGGTATTGAGATGGATGTTCATGGTAATCAGGGTATTGAGATGGATGTTCATGGTAATCAGGGTATTGAGATGGGATGTTCATGGTAATCAGGGTATTGAGATGGATGTTCATGAATCAGGGTATTGAGTGATGGATGTTCATAGTAATCAGGGTATTGTGATGGATGTTCATGGTAATCAGGGTATTGAGATGGATGTTCATGGTAATCAGGGTATTGAGATGGATGTTCATGGTAATCAGGGTATTGAGGTGGATGTTCATGGTAATCAGGGTATTGTGATGGGTGTTCATGGTAATCAGGGTATTGAGATGGATGTTCATGGTAATCAGGGTATTGTGATGGATGTTCATGGTAATCAGGGTATTGAGATGGGTGTTCATGGTAATCAGGGTATTGTGATGGATGTTCATGGTAATCAGGGTATTGTGATGGGTGTTCATGGTAATCAGGGTATTGAGATGGATGTTCATGGTAATCAGGGTATTGAGATGGGTGTTCATGGTAATCAGGGTATTGAGATGGGTGTTCATGGTAATCAGGGTATTGAGATGGGTGTTCATGGTAATCTTGGTATTGAGATGGATGTTCATGGTAATCAGGGTATTGAGATGGATGTTCATGGTAATCAGGGTATTGAGATGGATGTTCATGGTAATCAGGGTATTGAGATGGATGTTCATGGTAATCAGGGTATTGAGATGGATGTTCATGGTAATCAGGGTATTGAGATGGATGTTCATGGTAATCAGGGTATTGAGATGGGTGTTCATGGTAATCAGGGTATTGTGATGGGTGTTCATGGTAATCAGGGTATTGAGATGTATGTTCATGGTAATCTTGGTATTGAGAGGGGTGTTCATGGTAATCTTGGTATTGTGATGGGTGTTCATGGTAATCAGGGTATTGAGGTGGATGTTCATGGTAATCAGGGTATTGAGATGGATGTTCATGGTAATCAGGGTATTGTGATGGATGTTCATGGTAATCAGGGTATTGAGATGGGTGTTCATGGTAATCAGGGTATTGAGATGTATGTTCATGGTAATCAGGGTATTGAGAGGGGTGTTCATGGTAATCTTGGTATTGTGATGGGTGTTCATGGTAATCATGGTATTGAGAGGGGTGTTCATGGTAATCTTGGTATTGTGATGGATGTTCATTGTAATCAGGGTATTGAGGTGGATGTTCATGGTAATCAGGGTATTGAGATGGATGTTCATGGTAATCAGGGTATTGTGATGGGAGTTCATGGTAATCAGGGTATTGTGATGGGTGTTCATGGTAATCAGGGTATTGTGATGGGTGTTCATGGTAATCAAGGTATTGTGATGGATGTTCATGGTAATCAGGGTATTGAGATGGATGTTCATGGTAATCAGGGTATTGTGATGGATGTACATGGTAATCAGGGTATTGTGATGGGAGTTCATGGTAATCAGGGTATTGAGATGGGTGTTCATGGTAATCAGGGTATTGAGATGGGAGTTCATGGTAATCAGGGTATTGTGATGGGTGTTCATGGTAATCAGGGTATTGTGATGGGTGTTCATGGTAATCAGGGTATTGTGATGGGTGTTCATGGTAATCAGGGTATTGTGATGGGTGTTCATGGTAATCAGGGTATTGTGATGGGTGTTCATGGTAATCTTGGTATTGTGATGGATGTTCATGGTAATCAGGGTATTGAGATGGATGTTCATGGTAATCAGGGTATTGAGATGGGTGTTCATGGTAATCAGGGTATTGTGATGGGTGTTCATGGTAATCAGGGTATTGTGATGGGTGTTCATGGTAATCAGGGTATTGTGATGGGTGTTCATGGTAATCAGGGTATTGAGATGGGTGTTCATGGTAATCAGGGTATTGTGATGGGTGTTCATGGTAATCAGGGTATTGTGATGGGTGTTCATGGTAATCAGGGTATTGTGATGGGTGTTCATGGTAATCTTGGTATTGTGATGGGTGTTCATGGTAATCAAGGTATTGTGATGGGTGTTCATGGTAATCAGGGTATTGTGATGGGTGTTCATGGTAATCAGGGTATTGTGATGGGTGTTCATGGTAATCAGGGTATTGTGATGGATGTTCATGGTAATCAGGGTAT